TGATATCCGAGAGCGATTTCCGCACATCATCATCATCATCAACAGCTTTTAACAGTCCACTGCTGGATAAGCCTCTCTTTAGAAAGGAGATTTCCGTACTGGAAAAAAAAAGGTGGGAATCGAACCTACAACCTCAAGCTTAGTAGTCGGGGTCACTAGCCACTAGACCAACATGCCGCCATATATTCACAATTTACTCACAATCATACAATTTTAAAACAAATAAATAAAAAATAGAAACAAGGCAGTCCACAGCCGCCATATTCCATAAGCGAGCAATATATATAGCTCAGGCCTAGCTATACGAACAAATATATTATATTTTCCTATATGTTAGTTCCATCATTTATACTTTATTACTATATACCAACTATTTATATATAAAAGTGTTTGTCTTCGTGTGCGTACAGTCGCACAAAGGGAGTCGACTCAATTAAACATTTCCCTTAATAAGAATCTTGAAGATTTGATAACATTATTATATTTTGCGTCGAGACTTCTTTGAGACGATTGCGAACAAAGAATATAATTATGTACATTCTTTCTTCTTTCGTACGGTACAGCTCAGTAGTTAAAGTTGGTCTCTAAAGATGGTGATTTGACTTCGATTCCCGCACAAAAAACCGATGTTAAGCCCTGATTTTGGGGTGTGGGACTGAAAGGCTACAACGCACTTGTGACTCTAGAGTTGTGTCCGTGGACGGTGGTAGTCACTTACCATCAGGTGAAGCGCTTGCTCGCCTGCCTACATATACCAAAAAAAAAAGAATAGATTACCAGACTTTATAACGAACGGAAAGGAGATTGAGGTGGTACGGATATATCATGAAAAGGTCAGACCAGCACGTCCTGAGGAGGGCTCTAAGCCTAAGGCCGAGGACGACCTTCCTTCAGACAAAGCTTCTGAGGAAGCCAACCCCACCCAAAGTGGGAAAAGGCTAGGAAGAAGAGAAGATTACCAGACTTTATAAAAAACAGATATATCTAAATATAATACATACACTTACGTCTACTTTCCCGTAGGGGTAGAAATGGGTGAAGGCCCACATTTTGCCCACTATAATTTTAGTCCCTCTTATGTAATAGGGTGGAGGACTACTGCCTTCAAACAGCCGCCTGGTCCCAAAACATGACAGTCTGCAATTACCATGCTGCTGATAAAAATACTTATATAATATATTTCTAAAACTTAGGATACCTGGCTTCACCCAGGAGGCTTCGATGCCCGGTACGGGAACCAACTGTAGAGGAACAGGTGTCTTGTCCCTCCAACAAAAAGGGACGATCCTCCCAACGGGCGAGATGATCCTGCCAAATTTTAATAACGAATATTTTACTGACTTCCTAGTGTTTTAAAGGAAACTATAGATGAATAATAATATTCTACCATATTCACACAACGCCATCTAGTTCTAAACTAAACAGAACTTCTACTATGGCTACTAAACAACTGATATCCATAAATATATCATTTTTACATACTTTTTATATAAATACATTCATAAACTACATAGAAACATCAGGACCAGAACACACAAATGTTTGGCTTGAGCGGGAATCGATTTCGCGACCTTTAAAATAACAATACTTTGATCACTAAAACAATATAACCGGAAATTTGTCTACCAATTTTTGTTATTTAATTTCAATTTAATGTATGTCTTATCATCTAATTATAACTTAACTAAACGTCACTAAAAATAAGTTAATCCGTGTCAAACAACGTTTCGTATTATGAAAACGTAGTACCTGACAACTAAACTAATTTTTAGGGATGTTTAGTTTAGTTTAGAGATTTTTCGAACTACAAAATTAGCACCACCATGGTTTATTTCAAGAAAATATAAAATGCCTTAAGTTATATAAGAACTAAGAAGTTTCTTTGAGGCCTTCAAAAGCCTTTTCAATGTTTCCTGTACGTAGACAAGTAGGTATAAGGTATAACAGTTTGAACGAAAAAATAAGTTTCGTACGTAAATAAAACGTCTGCACATAAGGAGGACGCTCATAAAATAAAATTAATTGTGTATTGTATAGCCAACAATATATCAACTGAAATGAAACTAACAGATGACATAGATTTTTTTATTTTAAAGTTCGCTAGGTCAGGTTCTTTGCTAATATAAGTGCAGGTGCTAATATAAAGCTGACATAGACCAGTATTGCTTATTGTGCATCGGGCTTGGCACCGACTTCAAACAGACTAGAAGGGAATATTGTTATTATAATAATACCTGTTATATTGAGGGTACTTTTTATAGTTTTTTTACTTAGATTTGTAATTAGTTTTTAATTTTTAGTCCTTTTTGTTAGTATTGTTTGAAGTCGGTTCAACTTATTTTTTAAACGGATATTTTTACTTGTGGTGATCTATATACTTAATATTATGGAAGCGACAGTGTGTCTGTCTGTCTGTTACCTCTCTAACCTGTCTGACTCTACCTCTCTGTTACTTAAACCGCTGAACCGATTTAGATGCAATTTGGTATAGAAATAGATCGAGTCAGAGTACAAAAGCTAATATATTATATATAACCGTCTCTGTATATAAATAATCATTTGAGTTTTAAAAAAGTATCATCAAATTCAATGCACTAACTCATGATGAATTGTCATCATCATTATCATCCTAGCGTTAATCTCGGTTGCTCCTCCTCATTCTCCTCCATTACGCACGATCTTCGGCATTTGCACAAGACTATTGCCACTCATATCATATCTTACGACGTCAAGCCAACACTTCTTGGGTCTTCCCCTCCTACAGGGGCCCGGCGGAGGTGGCATTCTCTACGCAGCTCGGCGGTTGCCGCAAGACGTGGCCATACCACTCTTGCGACTTATCCGCAACGGACATGAAGGCTACCACGAATGCAAGAGTTCATTTTTTCTTCATTCCTTAAGTTTAACCCTTAGAAAGTTACCCAAAAAGAAAGTGTACAAAATTATTGTGGACACAATATACAGTTGACTGCATGGATGGCGTATTGGTTTAAGCGATCGCCTCGACGCTTCCTACTGCACTGAGTGCTGTGGGTTCGATCCCACATCGGAAAATACTTTGTGGGATCCACAAATTGTTGTTCTGAGTCTGTGTATTTTTGTATCCCTTCCATGAGTGTTAGTAAAGTCCCCCACGACACAGGTAATATTTCTAGTGCGGGAATTGTCTAAACAATAAAATATTTAGGCTTTGTACTCGTATACTGTCCTCTCACTAAACAAGCGAGTCATAAAAGAAAAACATTGAGTGAAGCACTCTTTATATTATTATTTTTTTAAACTTTATGCACAAAATACATATAATAGGTAGGCAAACTTAATGTAACCTGTAACTGTTAGGTTCATGTCAAAACCTTTTGTTTTTTTAAACTATTACTTACTGCTTTTTCAGAGACACATAACTTGTATGGTAATTAATGTTAAAAAAATATTTAAAAAAACACGCTTTTTATAGAAAACCGAACTAAAAAATTTAAAATAAATATTAATAAATTTTAAAAATTTGGTTAGTTTAAAAAAATAATTTTAAATTAGTGTGTTGTCATCAGTCCTCGATACATCTCCAAAGTTTGAACGAATTCTGACCGTTTAAAGTCAGTAAAAATCACGCCCAAAGGAGTCGGTTACAAACAAACATACAAACATACAAGTGAAGCTAATATAAAGCGTGTAAATAAAAGTAAATTGAAAGTGTTTCTTAGTTTTGCAATCCACGAGAAGAAAAGAACTTATTCGATTTGACACTGAGTACAGCGCCATCTAGTTCAAGTTTAAATACTTTCACGGTACAAGTGGTAACCAAACAAAATTGTTTATATTGTCATTTATAGATGGCGCTTAATTTTTTTTTACACCAATTTCCATTATATGTTAATAACAAACTAATTCGCTAGTCGGAAATACCATTAATGCTTTTTCTTTTCCCTATACAAACGGTTAAAGAGATACTATTAGATATCCAGAGGATATAACCCACAAAGAATTTTATTTACAATCAAAAATAGACTAGAAGGAAAAAAACCTACAAGACCTGGCCGACCGCATGAACTTCACTGATTTTCCTGATAAAATTATTGTCCTGGCAAGATCAAGAGTAGTATTTAGTAAGAAGCAGCATAAAATATAGGAATCAGAACCTCGAATAGAACCTTACTACAGACATGGGACCAGATCACAGTGAACTGTAAATACAAGGTGATTTATCATTCGACTTACTCGTCACGTCAGTCAGTCACGCGTTGTTGCCAATAAGACCTTATTTCGCCTATTTAACAGTAAATCTAGTAATTACTTAATTATATACTAGCTGACCCTGCAAACGTTGTTTTGCTATTTACATAATTCATTTTTTTTTTTAATTTCTTAAAATCCGTTCTTAGCTGACCTCTACTCGGTGTAAAAGAATATTCCTACCAAATTTGAAGTCTTTAGCTCTAATGGTTCCAGAGATATCGTGATGAGTGACTATATGCGTGGAAATCTCTTATATATATATAGATAGGTACCATTCTCTACATAATAATTAAAAATACTAGATTTACTGTTAAATAGCGTCTAACCTACCTACCTAGCAACCCAAACCTACGTACGCAAAAATCGAATTATAAATCACAGTTTACTGTTATTTTATCACATGTCTATTAGGTAGGTACCAATAACACTACACTAAATGGCATTACCAACTTTAAGTGTTTTAAGAAAGTTTTCTTCATTTCTATTTAACGACGAAATGTTATATTATAACCTCTGTTAGGCTTTTTTATTTATTCATAGAGTAATTTAATACTCTATGGGTACAGAACACACAAACAAAAATAACTGTCATCAGAATCACATTACAGGTCATATTCTCTTCATTAGACACCTTCAATTTTAAACTTTAATAACCATGTAAAATTACAAAGTACTACAAGGATATAATATGCAGCCGTTAAGAAAAGCAACCGAATTTTTAAATGCAATTCATTAAAACAAAAAATGCAGAGAAAAAAATTTCATGGATGACGTGTCCCAATGTTGACACAGAATATCCAGGACTTGCGTATTTGTGCCCTTTGGACGAAATAATTGTGACACAAGCACGAGACGCCCTCCACGATATAATCGGTGATCGTGCGCGAATCAGTTACACAATTTTCAACAACAGAGGGCAGAAGATATTCATCGCGGTCCGTATTAAAGGTTGCAGAAAGTTTACAATCAAGGTTTACAACATTTACGGAAACGAAGTCATAGAAGTAAGAAGACCTTTTGCTTTGTGTGTCAACAGGGTATTAGTGTGGGCCCCTCCGGGGAATTTCGTGGGCTCAGTAAAACAACTTTGCAACAAATATGCGGTTACAAATGACAGTGGCGTGAAAGTTCTGAATATAAGAATACAGAGACCACTAAAACTGATCTACAATATCCGTTATGTTTGTGGCGTTGAACCCATAGGTGTGATCAAACAACACTGGGATCTTCCTCAAGTTGGTGGCGTTAAAAACTTCGGCGTATCTTTTCCTGTACAGTTGAACGTTCAAGATAAAGCAGTACTACTAGGTGCGTGCTTTCTGATCGGTTGTTTGAAGTACTGAAGCGTAAATCTGTGAGTAATCTTATTACCGAGCAACGGAACATAAGTAATACCAAATATGCTAATAAACATTGTGATGAGAATATTATAATGTATTGTTATGGATTTATTACCACGAATCCTCCTCAAAAATATGGAATAAGAATTATTGATTTTTATAAAGCCAAGCTAATGGAAGACTCGCCGTGGATAAATATTACAAAGTTTATAAATAGAAAAAAGTGTGTGTGTGCAATTCATACACGGCAGAGATGAAACTTCAGAAATAAATATTTTATTTAAGAAAAATATACAATATTCACACTGTCAAAATATTATATGAACATTATGTTTTAAAAAATTTACGCAATATACACACAAATGTTAGTGTGTAATCAATACAAATAATTTACTAATGTTAATAAATTTTAGATATTTTATATAAATAAAAATAATGGTCAAATTAACATTAATTAACCAAGGAATTTTAATATAAAGATATGTTGGTTTATGACACATTTTCTGAAGGCTTCGTTGTACGCAGGCGCAAAGACACGTGATAGCATAGAGGAGACGAAGATTACAGAAAACACTGTTTACTTGTAATCTATCTCATTCTCTCGCAGTCTAATTCCTATTTATGAATATGTTTGTCTCTTTTTACTGTCGCTTTTTCGTTTCATCGAATTTTCAAATCACAACGGTACTAAAGAAGTTTTACTTCAATAAATTTGAAATAAATACGGAATTGAATTTGGCATGGAGAAATTTGATTCTTGTGGAACGACATGGGCTACTTGTTACCGCGATAACCGCCTTACACGCCGGCGGAAACGCGGGAAAAAGTTGGTTAGCAATAAAATTTGGTATTTTTATTTATTAATTTGTCTTTTTTTTCTTTTTGACTGCACGGATGGCGTAGTGGTTTAAGTCGTCGCCACGTCGCTTCCTACTACGCCGAGTGTTGTGTGTTCAAACCCCACATGGGGCGACACTTTGTGTGATCCACAAATTTTTGTTCTGAGTCCTGAGTGTTATTTGTGTCCGTTTCATGTATGTTTGTAAAGTCTCCCGCGACGCAGGAATACATATTTCTAATTTTAAAAAATACAAGAAAATATTTTGTACAATATATGGATGTACTTTCAGCAGTATTTTGTGAAATTCATTTTAATTGTGACTTTCTGTTTTATATTTATAACCTGTTTTCATTTATTTATTTACACATTATGCAACATTTGGTGCATCGGCGGACTTAATACTTGAGGCATTCTCTACCAGTCCTGCAGGTTTTATTTGTGGTCTTCCTGTAAGTGGGTGAGCCATGAAATTGCAAAATCAAAGACCACAGTTCAATCAAACACCACACCAATCCAATGTTTAGTACAAGGCCTATTTAACGACTGTTCACTTTATGTGTAGGGAAGATACTCTAAACTTTGTTTTTAAGATTCCTTTGTACTTCGTGATTAATAATACAATTCACGCAAAATCACAGTTTTCCAATATTAACAGTTAACTGATTTTTATTTTGGATTAACATCATAACAGTAGCAGCATCTATCGGTCGACTGTAAAACTAATATTACCTTGACCTTCTTCTTGCAATTTTAGAACAAGGATAAACATAGATGGCGTTATTACGAACTTGCCTACTTTTATAGGTAGACTAAGGTTATGTTCTCTGAGAAATCTGTAAATGTTACGAAGGTTGGTAACTCCATAGATTAATAACTATTTAAAAATAAACTAAAAACTCTTGTCTTTTTAAGCCGTCTGCGGCAGAAAGAGGATACTGCAGTACAGCTATGGATTTTAAAGTGGAAACGAGAGCTTAAAGAAAATCTCAACACGAAATTTGCTAAGTTTGTGGTTGTATACCCCCGCATAATAATGTTGAAAATAGTCATTTAAATGTTAGACCAATTCCTAAGCTTCTTCAAAAGAAGCTGAGCAACTGATTATATTTTTCAACGGAAGCTTTTACTCTATGGAAATATAAAGACCGGTAAAAACTCTGGCAACACTTCCTGTGAGCGGTGTGACGTCAGAGAAATCATTTTGCAAAAACTTGCTTGAGAATTGAAAATAATATTTTAGAATAAATAAAATAGAGGCTGACAGATTTGAATTTTTCATCCAGAGATGACCCCAGACGTCTCACATTTTTTTTTAAATGTTAATAACTGTCAACCTCTTGCATGACAAGAGTCTTTGGTATGCTCTGTTTCTTTTAATATGCCTTGTTTTATTTATTTGTTCTTATTTGTAACAATTTTGCAGATTTTGTCGTCTCACATTAGACATATGACAAAATCACAGTGAACTGTGATTTATCGTTCAATTTTTGCGTACGTAGGTTAGGGTTGCTAGGTAGGTAGGTTAGACGCCATTTATCAGTAAATCTAGTATTTTTGAATTATTATGTAAGGAATGATAGCTATTTATAATAAAATAATTACTAAATTTATTGTTAAATAGGCGAAATAGGATCTTCATGCATCGTCTGAAAACAGCTTATTGTCAACAACGCGTCAATAAGTAGTAACGAACCTACGTACGAAAAAAAAACGAATAATAAATCACCGTTAATTAACAGTTCACTGTGATCTGGTCCCATGTCAACCTCACATATTATCACCCAATTTAGCAATAAACATAGAAACCTTCCAGTTGTTTTATGATATATGTTAGAGTTAATATATGTTAGGTACTATATGGTTACATTTTGTGCAATAAACAATCTAATTTACTCGACATATTTTATTACTAGCTTTCGCTCGTGGCTCCACCCGCGTGTTATCGCGATAAAAAGTTGTCTAGGTATGTTACTCGCTGATTATGTACCTTTCCAAGAGTGAAACAAACACACAAACTAATATATAAGTATGAATTAGTGATCCTTCCAAAATTTGAGACTGCAACCGAACCTGATCAGCACAAGCCTTCAGTGTATGTATATTCACACCCGAATGGCCGAACGGATCTAAATCTTTAAAAGTCTGGAGTAACATATAGGACTAGCTGACCCGCGCAACTTCGTCTGCGTCTAATAGTAATAAATTTTATTCGTTTTTGAAACATTCTTCATTGGTACTCCGCTCCTATTGCTCTTAGCGTGATGATATATAGCCTATAGCCTTCCTCGATAAATGGGCTATCTAACACTGAAAGAATTTTTCATATCGGACCAGTAGTTCCTGAGATTAGCGCGTTCAAACAAACAAACAAACAAACTCTTCAGCTTTATAATATTTTGACTGCACGGATGGCGTAGTGGTTTAAGCGGTGTGCGTTACCCCAGCAAAATAATGTCGAAAATGGTCATTTAAACTTTATAGATAATTAGTTGCTCCCCTTCTGTAATTGTTAGGCACATTTTTAAATTTGTTTCACTTAAACTTTTTTAGTTCTTTCAAAAAAACATTTCCTGCTGGGGTAACGTTTGAAACGTTACCGCAGCCAGACATTTTCTTTTTTAATTGTAATATTGAAATAAATTTTAGCTAAATAATTAGTTATCTGGACTAGGTAAATGTTACAACTTATTTGGTATTTGTATTTTCTGCGGCTGCGAAGTTATTCGAAATCCTGCTGGAGTAACGTTTGTGGGTTTGCTGGATCTCTGAAACGGGTAAGCGGATTGTGACCATCTTTTGTACATAACTTCTTAAGGATTAGTTTTAATTTGTTCGACAATAAAATAACAAAAATTATGGACAGTTTAAAAATTATTTAGGTAAGTATGAAAACACTTCAATACGTCCTAACACTTTAAATAAGACCTCTAAAGACTTACTTGAAACGTTATTCTATTGCTTGTAACTACCTTCAAATGTATACGAATTTTCGTAAGAATACTGTAAGTGACTAAAAAGTTATGATGAAATGTAGCTCTCCACCTTCACGATCACAATGTGTGCGGCCTTTTTTGGCCACCTATAAACCTGTGTGTGGATATATAAACTTAATGTTATGCCAATAATTAGTTGTTTAGTTCAGTTGTCTACCTGTAAAATTTCAGCGTAGTACATATAATAATTTACGAGATAATTAAATAAAAGTCATTAGAAGGTGCAAGACCGTGGTAACCCGACCATGTTTAGGTGGTTACAAAAAAGCGATCACCCAGTACATTGTGCTGGCTTTTAAAATATGTAGGATATTATTTGCAAGTTTACTACGGATATGTACATAAGTGTTACAAAAAACTACATGTTTTTTAAATATTTTTTATTTAGGATTGTTTATTGCATAATTAGTAATCAGCCGGGAGATTAGGTATTGTTTTGAATGCTTTTGTTTTCTCGTAATGTTTAGGTGAATTGTTTATAATTGTTCATAGAATTGGTACCTGCGTAGTATTTGTTAATTGAAGTTTAATTTTAGGGTAGGTATAGGTAATTTAAGTTTTGAAGAGTGTAACGTATGCGTTGTAAATAGGTATTTTGTGAATAGATGGGGATTTTTTAAGTGATGAATCGACTTAGGCTAGCATATCGCGAACAAACTCTGTATTGCATTATTTCTGTAATAATGTTGGAGAAAATAAAATATTTGATCACAAAATCGCGGTGAGTTAAATTATAATAAAATAAATTATTTATGTAAAATTAGTAATAAGTGATATACCTACCTACAAGTTATGATCGTTTTTAATTTTTTCACCCTGAACGAAATTTCAATATTAGCATTAGTAATTAATATCCTAAGACAAGAATTGACAATTACTTAAATTGAATCGAATTAGCATTAATGCCCATTATTAGTAATTAGGTATACACATATTGAAGAACTCTCAAGAATACGATAAATATTTGCAAAAATAGAAAGCGGAAGCGCACACGTACTTTACAACACGTATATTATCTGCCTAAGGGTCAAGTTTAGTGCACTAGATGCAAATTGCAAACAATGAAGTATCCCTTCGCCCCTTCCCTCCCGCGTTCTAGCGAAGGATGTATTATCAGCGATTCTTGATTGACAAATATTATCTGACCAATAATTTTATCTATAAAAATGTATCACTTTCAACACGAAATCAACAGTCACGGGCTCAACGCTTAACGGTAGGTACATAGGTATAGATAATTCTCGGTTCTCGGTATAGACCACAGAACAATATTACCTACTCTTACGAGGTATACTACTGTTGGGCGATGCAATGTTGATGCATTTTAATTTACAACTGTATTCTTCTACTATTCGGTCTATTTTAACTTATTGTAGATGACTTGTTGCTTTAAATATTTTGATGCATTCAAGTCTAAGCTCCATACACCCCAAAATAAAATACAATTACTTTAGTGTTATTTCTTTACAAAAAAAATCAAAGAAATGAAACGATTTCTTATTGGTTTAAATTTTCGATTTATTGCAGTCAGGTGAATCGTTCATACATGTATCTACATATTTATAATTTTAGCGGACCAGTGCAGATTTTCTGTTGATTGTAGCTCCGGTAGTAAAAAGACTAAAGAAATTTTAAGTAAAGAAACTAGTGCTTAAGATCAATTAGGGAAAAAACAAAATAAATAATAGGTAATAATAATGAATAAATATTGAATGTATTTAACACTGTACGCAACTGTACCGAAATCGTAAGGTGTATTACACTAAACATTTTAAAAGACAGCGCAATGTACTGGGTGATCGCTTTTTTGTAACCACCTAAACATGGTCGGATTACCACGGACTTGCACCTTCTAATGACTTTTATTTAATTATCTCGTAAATTATTATATGTACGACGCTGAAATTCTACAGGTAGACAACTGAACTAAACAACTAATTATTGGCATAACATTCAGTTTACATATCCACACACAGGTTTATCGGTGGCCAAAAAAGGCCGCACACATTGTGATCGTGAACGTGGAGAGCTACATTTCATCATAACTTTTTAGTCACTTACAGTATTCTTACGAAAATTCGTATACATTTGAAGGTAGTTACAAGCAATAGAATAACGTTTCAAGTAAGTCTTTAGAGGTCTTATTTAAAGTGTTAGGACGTATTGAAGTGTTTTCATACTTACCTAAATAATTTTTAAACTGTCCATAATTTTTGTTATTTTATTGTCGAACAAATTAAAACTAATCCTTAAGAAGTTATGTACAAAAGATGGTTACAATCCGCTTACCCGTTTCAGAGATCCAGCAAACCCACAAACGTTACTCCAGCAGGATTTCGAATAACTTCGCAGCCGAAGAAAATACAAATACCAAATAAGTTGTAACATTTACCTAGTCCAGATAACTAATTATTTAGCTAAAATTTATTTCAATATTACAATTAAAAAAGAAAATGTCTGGCTGCGGTAACGTTTCAAACGTTACCCCAGCAGGAAATGTTTTTTTGAAATAACTAAAAAAGTTTAAATGAAACAAATTTGAAAATGTGCCTAACAATTACAGAAGGGGAGCAACTAATTATCTATAACGTTTAAATGACCATTTTCGACATTATTTTGCTGGGGTAACGCACACGTTTAAGCGATCGCCACGCCGCTTCCTACTTCGCCGAGTGTTGTGGGTTCAAACCCCACATGGGACGACACTTTGTGTGATCCACAAATTGTTGTTCTGAGTCTGGGTGTTCTTTGTGTCCGTTTCATGTATGTTTGTAAAGTCCCCCGCGACACAGGATTTATTCCTAATGCGGGAGTTGTCTTTTAAAATAAATAAATAAATAAAATATTAGTATAGATAGGCAAGTGTTATCCCAGACAATTTGTTAACAGGACTCCATTGCACTCCAAATAGCCACATTAAACTCTATTCTTATACTTATCTACTTACTTATATAATAGAGGTGAGTGTACAAAACCAGTTGCACAGAGTACAGGCCACTTGCTTGGTTTGGTCGGCTAAGGACAGGTAAGTCTTGACTATTATCATCACTATGATTAAATAAAACACTCCATATTTGGAAATTACTGTTTATTAAAAAAAAAAGTAAATCAGTCTTGAAATATCTTAAATGCTTAATGAAATTAACTTAATACTGTATGTAAATTAATGATTCTCATTTCTTGCGTCTTTTCTCTGGAGGCTTGGCTTCATTTTCCTCCTCACCGTTCAGCTGTTCATCACAAGGTTTCCTCCTCACTGGTCCTGTCTGTGTTATTGGAATCGATCTCTCATCTTTGTTTTCAATCGATTTGAGGGCCGACACCGTCAAAACTCCGTCCGAAGACAACTTCGACTCCACATTTTCAGGGTTGCAGCCTTCAGGAAGAGCATATCGCCGCTTGAAATGACGAGAAACGTACCCATGCTCATCTTTTCTTTCCTCGTGCTTTCCTTCGATGATAACGTAACCGTCTGATGTCTTGACAGAAATTTCTTCCGGGTCGAAATGCTGCACATCTAAGTTTATTTGGAACTTGTCTTTGTCATATTTGATGGTAGATCCCACATCCTTGGCAGCTGCAGCTAAACTCCTCCAAGGGCGAAGATATTTACGCATGGAAATCGCTGGGCGTTCAACCAAATCCACCAGAAAGTCATCAGGTGACAAATCTAAGCCGAATAGCTCATCACGAAGGCGCCGAGGACGGAAATCGTCGAGCAAATACGGTATAAGAGCCATTTCTTACAAAACACTTGAAGGAATTGGAAAACAAACTCAACTTTCAACTTGATTGTTTTGTTTATCGTGCAATGTTAAATACTGCCGCCAGCAGGCGCGCGCATCGCTTTTATACTCCTGGCGGATGTAGACAGAAACCACGAGCAATATTGAGAATGTTGTGGAAAATTCGAGAGTAAATGAGACATCTAGCGGCGAATAGATAACCTTAACAGTCTCTAGAACCACCATAAGTACTTATTAAAGATAGAAAGATGGCGCTATAATCGCAATACATTTTTCGTTACTGTTTTTAGAATGTAAAACAAAATTTACTTTAATATTTGTGTTTCGGACTGCATTGATTTTTCATGTATAGTTAAGGGTCATTTGTACTTAATAAATCCTTGTAACACAAAGTTAGTATTTTCATGTTTCATCTATCTGCTACTAGATGGCAGCAAAAGCTACTTTTGTAACAGGACATGATTTATCGTATTCCATGGCACTTCATGGAACATGTTAAAGTTTCCAGATTGTTATAGAATCGTATATATTAAATATAATTATGACAACACGATGAATGTCAAACCTAATAACTCAAAAGTAGGTAAACATTTTAGAGAAAGCTATTTTAAAAGAAATTTATTAGGAAAAAAGTTAAAGAAATGACTGAAAAGAAGTTTACTTAACCCAATGGAACAAAACTAACAATTGAATTATGCTTAATTAAAATTACGTCGGACAGCAACAGTAACAAAATCATATAAGTACCTAGTTTCCTACTCAGATAACACACGTTGTTCGTTCATTAACGGTTTTGTATTGTAGAATATTTTTTGCTCATTTTGTGCCCCTTTGTGTCAAAGGTGACAGACACTTGCACCTTCCTCGGTCCCCTAGCATTCGATTTACATTATGTATATGTAATTTTAAATTATGTATTCAATTTACACAAGCTACAGAACTTAACCTCAAATATTACAACGTGTGATAATCACATGTGTCGTGATGCCGGTTTCTACAATACGGAAAAGAATTTATATCGAATTGAAGATTATTATGAATGCAAATATGTAATATTATTATTAATTTTCTGTCTATTACCTACGGTTAAAGATTATATAATTAGATACCACATGTCTATTTAAACAACTTAATAATTTAGGTATGTAAATGTAATTTACGTATATTACCTACAAGACTTAGGTAGCTTTTACTTGAGGGGACTAACTGATAGCACAAATTCTATACAATTTATTCTTAAAAGACCTTTTTACGGTGATTTTCGGTTTGAAAATAGTTTTCGACGTCTACATTTTCGTTCCAGGAATCTACTATCTTATTAATTAATTAGTCATCACAGTGAGACGTTCTATACCTACGTATAATATAGGTATCACATGTTCTAGAAAAATTTAGCTGAGTTTAGTAAATATAAATGGGTATATAAAACTAACAGAGAGACAGAGAGAGAGATTTTTGGTACCTGACATCTATTTTTACGTTAAAACTCATAAAAATTTAGTCATTAAAGTATTAGTAGGATCCAAATCAGAATAAAAATAATTTCCGTGGTTTCTGTATGCCATAGAGAGGTTACCGGTAATTAAAAATGTCAATCAATTGTAAATGTGTTTAGCCTAAAAACTAATTAAATGATTACAAATTGCATCATCCTATTTTAAATTTCCAATCATTCGAAAAAGACGATAATAAGACTGAATTTGCTGCATAAATCAATACTTCTGTCTAGGATAATGTTGCCAGTCTTCCCAGTCTGTAAATAGCCGATTAATTAAGCATTAATTTAATCAAACTGATTATATGAAACAGCGTACAACAAAGTATGAATTCATCCATAAAAGTTATTTTAATATTTTTAAAAAAGATTAAATAAATTTTATTATGATCTCAGCTAAAGTCCGCAGTTACATTGGCCTTAAAAATGAAACCAATTTACATTAAAATTATCGTTAATAGGGTATTAGGTTCTAAGATACCTATTATTTCGATGCTCTTTATCAATACTTGAGTAAATTCACATATATGTAATAGTAAACATAACGTTAACGATTATATTAAAGTTATTTATTGCTAGGTTAGCACTGTTACAGAGTATTATTATGTTTGTGCCATAATTAATCCCAAATAAACTATACAAATAAATGCAAATGAACTTAAATCTTCAACCTTGCTACCTTTAGTTTACTTTTCACTACTAAAAGTGGCCATTTCCTAATGCAAGCTCTTGTTTACCTAAATAACAAAAATCATTAAAGCATCAAATTAAACAGAATAAAATAATATAGTAGGCAATATGTGTGCTAAGTTTTACAGCTGGTTGAGAACAATGGTAACAAAATCTTCCCATAACGATAAAATATCAGGAACATGGGTATCGTCATTTAATATATTTAACGGTAAAATGTAAAAATACAGTTAAAGTATTTATAGGCATTTAGGCATTAAAATATTTTTTTAAAGAAGCCATCTTATAACATCGATGACAGTGCCACATTTTTAACTGTATTTGAAAACCTGAAAGACATCAGTAAAACTTTTCAATTTCATTTAGAGAATTAAAGAGAATTAAATAAAAATTTATAAGCTGGTATCCCTGGCAATTTCAATGAACTTGACATAAATGAAAAGCCGGACACCAGCAGCACTTTTAGCGGGCAAAAGTGAAACTACATACCGGATGTAGCATGAACATTCTAGTTGGAACTTTAAAAGGCTTTAAAGATAAGTAATAAATAGTTAAACTATAAAAGTAAGTTTAGTTTTAGGTTAACTGTGTACATAACTATTAAATAAAAATGGTAATTTTATAGCTTTTCATTCACAATTGTCACTTTTTTCAACTATATTCAGAAGATTCTCGAACTTTCTAGAATGTTCCACGAAAAATCAATGTTCCGATCCCAGCGTCACCGTGTGTTCAGTAGAAGAACTACAAAAATCTTGCTGGTGTTATAAACATTTTGTCTACCGAAGAATTTCCTAATTTTAATTTATTTTTCTTCAAACTTATTTGGCTATTTCCTTTTACTGAAACTTCTTTAACTAGTGTTTAATATTATGTGATTATCTTCGTTTATCTTGATATTTAAGGTTTGTATGTATTTGTAAGCATTTTATTAGCTGTCTTTGGTCTTGTAGACCTCAAAGATCTACAAGACCAAATGACAATGCTATTGTTAACCGACTTCAAACAAAGGAGGACGTACCTAATTCAGTATATTTTTTGTTAGTTACCTCATAACATCTATGAATCAATTTTGGAGAGGAAACTTTCCGTTTAGTCTGAAAATTTGAAGAAAAAATACCGTCCCTAATGGCAAATTAGGTAATAAGGAACTAAGTTTGGTACAATTCATTGTGATGAAAGTTCATTGAAGTCGTTAATAAATTTTAAAAAAATAGCAGTGACTGGTAATTTGAAACAAATATAATGTTTCTATACCTATTGCATGATCTCATGTTTTTTCATCAATTCTGTTTACGTTCTAAATCTAAGACAACAGAGCGTCGAAGAAGATACACCTTTTTTGAAAATGCAAAAAAATTGTGAATATTTACAAAAAAGATTAACAAACAGCAGAAAAAGATTCTGAACAATTTTGTCTTTACCTATTTAGATGAATATTCATCTATTGTATATAGAATTGATGCTAAGAAAAATAATTTAATCTATAAATCAATTTACATAAGTTAGACCGCCTGCATACAGACAAAATATATTTAATGAGCTTCATTTTATGAAAATAATTGGTAAAAATACAAAACAATAGCTGTTATCAATTTGCAATTCTTTTCACATTTTTTGTAGTCAACCAACGGTGCGATATATCTGCCGGAAAACGCGCCAAATCTAGAAGTTTCTACTCGGTCACAGATGTCGCCTGCCTGCCGACTCTATATAAGCAGTCTGACGTTAGAGCCGGCGTCATTTTCAAGATATAACAAGTGAGAGATAGACTGCGATTGTACACGATCTATTAACACGTGTATATTAAACCGCGCTATTCTGTGAGAAAGTATTCTGTGCATTATACGTTATTTGCGGAACTCTAATATAAGTGTAAATTAAGTCAAAATGCCTGAAGAAATGCAGACCGAAACTGCGGAGGTGGAGACCTTCGCCTTCCAGGCGGAGATCGCCCAGCTCATGTCACTGATCATCAACACATTCTACTCAAACAAAGAAATCTTCCTTCGAGAGCTGATTTCCAACTCATCGGATGCTTTGGACAAAATCCGGTATGAATCACTCACTGATCCCTCGAAGCTTGACAGCGGAAAGGAGTTGTACATTAAAATCATTCCTTGCAAGAGCGAAGGCACCTTGACGATTATTGATTCGGGTGTCGGTATGACAAAGGCTGATTTGGTCAACAATCTTGGTACCATCGCTAAATCTGGCACAAAGGCTTTCATGGAGGCCCTACAGGCAGGCGCCGACATCAGCATGATTGGTCAGTTTGGTGTAGGTTTCTACTCTTGCTATCTCGTAGCTGATCGCGTGACTGTTCACTCGAAACACAATGATGATGAACAGTACCAGTGGGAGTCTTCTGCCGGAGGTTCCTTTACAATTCGCCCAGACCACGGAGAGCCTCTCGGCCGCGGTACTAAGATCGTTCTTCACATCAAGGAGGACTTGACAGAGTACCTTGAAGACCACAAAATCAAAGAGATCGTGAAGAAGCACTCCCAGTTCATCGGCTATCCTATCAAATTGGCTGTCGAAAAGGAACGTGAAAAGGAACTTTCTGAAGATGAAGCCGAAGAAGAGAAGGAAGATGAAAAGTTGATTGAAGATGTGGGTGAGGATCTAGACGAGGACAAGAAGGAGGGCAAGAAGAAGAAGAAAACTATCAAGGAGGTATACACTGAGGATGAGGAGTTAAACAAGACCAAGCCAATCTGGACTCGCAACGCTGATGATATTACTCAGGAGGAGTATGGTGATTTCTACAAATCACTGACCAACGATTGGGAAGACCACCTTGCTGTGAAACACTTCTCGGTTGAGGGTCAACTAGAGTTCAGGGCTCTCTTGTTCGTACCACGTCGTGCTCCCTTCGACCTCTTCGAAAATAAGAAGCGCAAGAACAACATCAAACTGTATGTACGCCGTGTCTTCATCATGGACAACTGTGAGGACCTGATTCCCGAGTACCTTAACTTCATTAGGGGTGTGGTCGACAGTGAAGACTTGCCCCTCAACATTTCTCGTGAAATGCTTCAACAGAACAAGATCCTTAAGGTCATTAGGAAGAACTTAGTTAAGAAATGCTTAGAACTCTTTGAAGAATTAGCAGAGGACAAAGAAAACTACAAGAAGTATTATGAACAGTTTAGCAAGAACTTGAAACTTGGTATTCATGAGGATTCACAAAACAGGTCTAAGTTGGCTGACCTCCTACGTTACCACACATCTGCATCTGGCGATGAGGCATGCTCCCTTAAAGAGTATGTATCTCGCATGAAGGAGAACCAGAAACACATCTACTACATCACTGGTGAAAACCGTGACCAGGTTGCTAACTCTTCCTTTGTAGAACGTGTCAAGAAGCGTGGTTATGAAGTTGTGTACATGACTGAACCAATTGATGAGTATGTAGTACAACAAATGAGGGAATATGATGGCAATTCTCTAGTATCAGTAACCAAAGAAGGCTTGGAGCTTCCTGAGGATGAGGAAGAAACCAAGAAGCGTGAAGAAGACAAAGTTAAGTTTGAAGGTCTCTGCAAAGTCATGAAGAACATACTAGACAACAAAGTTGAAAAGGTTGTTGTATCTAACCGTTTAGTAGAGTCGCCATGCTGCATTGTCACTGCCCAGTACGGCTGGACCGCTAACATGGAGCGTATCATGAAGGCACAGGCTCTCCGTGACACTTCAACCATGGGTTACATGGCTGCCAAGAAGCATTTGGAAATCAACCCTGATCATTCCATTGTTGAGACCCTGCGTCAGAAGTCAGAGGCTGACAAGAATGACAAAGCTGTCAAAGACTTGGTCATCCTGCTGTACGAGACTGCTCTTTTGTCATCTGGATTTGCTTTGGATGAGCCTCAGGTACATGCATCTCGCATCTACCGCATGATCAAGCTCGGTCTGGGCATTGATGAAGATGAGCCTATCCAGGTTGAAGAGACAAGCGCTGGAGATGTACCACCACTTGAAGGGGATGCCGATGAAGCTTCACGCATGGAGGAAGTAGACTAATCTCATTTCAACCGCCTTTTTATTTAGCCATGTTGTAATGGTGTAAGAAAGTGAAGTTAAAAGATTATTTTGTGCACTGTTGTACATACAAAGACTGATTTAGTTCCAAATTCCATTATTCAAAATAAATGGTAACAACAAATTATATCATGTTTTGTCTATTCTTGTTTCCACTAGTTGCACTAGTGCAACAAAATTTTAAGTGTTTGTGTTAATTATGAATTGCATTCATGAGATTCTGTCTGAACATATACATATTAATAGACAGACAAAATGGTTCAAACATTTTATTATTGGACAACCGTTTTTTCCTTTAGATATCTATTAACTCTAATAACATCAATAAAAATTTTAAATTCTGAATTTGGTTTAGAATCAAATATTAAATAACAATAGTACTTCCCCATCTTTTTTATTGAGTAGGTACCTAGCTAGGTAGTTACAATTGGGTACCTATGTAGAACTTTTCAAACATGGCACAAAATCACAGTGAACTGTGAAAGATGGTGATTTATCATTCGTTTTTTTTTGTGATTTAGAATTACTGACGCAGTGTTACCAATAAGCTGTTTCCAGACGCTGCATAAAGATGTCTTCATGCATCGTCTGGAAACAGATTACTGTTTCATAGTCTAACCTACCTAGAAACCCTTTTTTTTTTTTTCCGTGCGGAAATCCCCTCGGATACCACCTGTCAGTGGCATGTCGGACTCGAACCGACTAAAACCGCACGCCGTCTCGGGTACTAATAGCCGGGGAACCAGGTATACCCTAGAAAGGAAGTCCCTGGTGCTACCTAGAAACCCTAAGCTACGACTACGTAGGTACACAAAAATTAAATGAAAAATCACAATTCACTATGATTTTGTCCCATGTCTACTATACATAGTAGGTACCTACCTGGTACTTTTACAAAAAAGTGTTAGTGTGTAGAAGTGGTAAGCATTGCTATTATTTTCTTGAAATAGACAGATATCTATATCAAGAAACAAATGCCTGTAGGTACCTACATAGGATTCGATTAGGAAATTTTCTAAATAGCAGGGCTACATAGCAATGTTAAATACTAGATTATCGAGTCGAAATAAGTGCATTGTAAGGTCGGGATCTCGGCACCAAGCGCATCCTACCTATTGATTTGCTGTTTCGATGCCTCGCCTAGCTTAGTATTGCCAACATCGAAATTTCACCAAAGTACTGTAATGTTTTTTGAGGGAAAAAATGCAACTTATTTCTGCCTTTGCAAATAATCCAAACAATGTGCCACGTCTCTGTCAATTTGTAAATTTTGATTGAACGCCAAACACATAATGAAAAGAATAAAGGTGGTTTTACACCACCGAGGCAAGTCGTGGATGGGCCGAGCGAGAATTGAATGGAGAATGACCATCCATGGTTTCACTTTTAGACGTTCACGTCATGTTATTTTTTTTATTGATTTTAAGTCACATTAAAAAATATTGCAGTTTAGTAATCTTATTATTTCGTTTATGTAGTCGGATGTAGTTCAGTGTTAGTTTTGCTTTAATTTATATATGGTATCCCTGTCAAAACAGGATACAACAGATATTACTCTTTGGTTTGTTAAAGTTCAAAAGAAAACACTTGATTTTTGTGTCTATTCCTTATAATTTTAATTATTCACGATGGCGAATTTACAGACATCAATACAGTTCACTTACTAACTACGGTATCGGACGAGACATGTCTTTGTGTTCCAAACTATGTTGACCGTCTGTCCAAGAGAGCGTCCCGCGGTAGCGGAACTACGTCATCGCGTCGGAGAGTGATGTAACAGGCAATACAGGCGTAGTGATATGCAATACGCGTAGTGATGTGCAACGCCACAACTCTAACGTCAGTGTCACAATATTTTTTCGTTGTTAATATTTCCACATTTAATTTCTCAACAATCACAAGTTCTGTTACATACAATATGCAGGCATAATAATACAGTTTATACATATTTGACGCAGCAAAAAGAATGTGTAACTGATTTTCATTCTCCTAGAATAGGTTAAATGATTTATTTGATTAAATTTAATTTCTATAATTTTTTACACTTTTAAGTTACTTGATTATTTAATATATAGTTAATTTTACTGGGCTTTTCCATGCACTTAGCCTCGTGATTAGGCCCTTGTGCGTATGTTTTTTTATATGCTGTTTATTAAAATAATTATACAATTAAAATTTATCATTTTGTTTTCGTACTAAAATAATCAATGCAGAAACAATATTTAAATAATCCAACACCAAGACGGCTGCCCACAATCAATACACAGTAAGGGACATTGTTTCTGAAATTACTTTTTTTGCATATTTCGAACTTTCATAGTAATTCGTGTCGAACTGATTGATCTGAAATTTGGTATACTGTTTCTTTGATGGTATTTCCACAACATGGAAACCTGGAACTTGCTGCTGCATCAAGTAGTCTGCGGGATAGCCAACTGCAAAGAAAATTATAGCACAAATACCAGGTCGGGGTTTTATACTGTTTTTTTTTGTGTCATGGTTTTTTAATATTGTGTTGGTAAATCAATACTCTTTGCAGTCGAGTAGTCACCTAAGCCTTCTCCTTTGTATGGAATTTTTTATCCACGCGCTGAACATCTTTGGTGTAAAAGGTCTAGATGAGCGAGGATATGTAAGACGAGAATTGAAATATTTGTTAGTACAATTTTGAACCTTATTGCTCTTAGAATAGAGTAAATCTAATGATATAATACTTTACTATGAAATATGTTTTTAGATGGTTTTACTATTAATACTAAAAAAGGATAATGCCTATGCTTCAAATGTACATTAAAACGAACGGAATAGCAATGGCTCTCCATAAAACGTAGGCGGCGCGCGAGACACGGTTGGCCGGCGCATGATAGCGCGAGGAAGCGATGGCCGGCGCGTGCCAGCGCTGGACATCTTTCTGTGTAAAAGAGTAATCCCCATCAACGCCTCGGCCTGCCGGTATAAAACCACTTTTAGTACCGAGTAGTAGCAAATTCTTGTAAAGTTTAAAAAGTTACATACAATATTGTCACTCTTTCAGAGAACTAAAGTACCGTAGAATGGGGTTAATTGAAAAAAACTGTAAATCGAAATTTAGTACATATAATAAAGAATAAAAATGCATTGTTTATTGATATTCCATCAGCGTATTTGAACATTAATAAACAATAGTTACAATACTTCCCTTATATGATCTTTTTTTTTAAAGTAGCGTAAACTTGAATTTTTTGGGAACTTACAAAAAAAAATACGAATGAAAATTGAACTTGAATATCCGTTTAGACCAGACATTTTTCCGCCAAAATTGCAGCTGTGCTAAGAATTGCTTTTCTTTGACAGCCAATGAATAGTCTCCTATGATTGTTTTTTTTTTTAAATCGTCACTATCACCACGACAAACCTTTATGTTCACAATTTACAAAAATATGCCAGATGCATTCTTAGATTACAATATTTTTTTCTCAAATTACCCTAATTAATAACTTTTTTCCAAGTATTACGCCCCCATTCTACGGTAGCTGTTTTTTTTCTTCTACTAGTTTGAAATTACGCCACTGGTGTACAAGACATGTGACCAGGCGTAACTATGAACGTGTAAATAACTGATTGTAATGTATAGTGGTGTAACGACTTGACTATTCTAACCGGTTTAGACCGGTTTGAGCATGAACCGAGTTGACTCGGTTAGCCCGTGGTTTAAACCCATTCAGCCGTATCATAAGATCACACTGTACTTCGCGTCGTACTGTTGCTCTCGCGGCTCCTGCTTTATCGATCGAATCAAACTGATTTATGTACCAACTGATTCTGAACCGAGTCGATGCGTCACGGCAGTGAAATTTATTTATCAATTTACCTACAAGTATAAGCTATATTATTGTTTCTACAAATTCGGATACGGTTGGCGCGCGTCGTCAGCTTAATAATAATTGAATACATAAACCGATTTACTAACCGTTCGGATCTAATGGACATATTTTTCTTGGGTTCCCTCTTTCTGACAGAATCTTGATGCTCCGAAATTTATTTCGTATAACACACTTGGCAGAAACTTCTTTAAACGAATATGTTTAAGGCATAAAAAATATTAAGTATAATTAATGTTCGGCCGAATTTTATGTGTCCGAATTTACAGATGTGGCATAATTTTATTTAGCATAATCACCTTTGGCAGAGTTAAAATTTCGCATAATTTCGTTTAGCATGATGTTTATTTAGAGCGACGATTATTTCGTACAATTTCACTTGGCATACTATAGAGATGGCAGAATTTCACTTGGAATAATTTTTTAGGCATATTGCCATAAAATAGCACTTTTAACCTTAAATTAAAACATTATCTTAAAAAGTCATGTTTTGTAATCAACTTTAATGCTTGTATGTAAGCTTGGTTGCCAACCGTTGACAACCCGTAAAACGCTGGTTTAATCGATCATACTTAATCATGTTGCACATCACTTTCGTATGATACATTCGCTGGTCAACTCATCATACGAGTTAAACCGCGGTTTACTGTAGTTTTAACGGATCGGTTTGGAACCAATTCGCACGAATTTTCAAAAACGATTCAACTCGGTTTGACAATATTCCAAACCGACACATCTCTAGTAATGTGGTTGTTATATGTTTGTCTATGATTATTTTGATGATAGTCGACAGAGTTCATCAAAGATATGTAGAATGGTAAAATACATTTAGCTCTGGTATTCCCAAGCATGACTGGTAAAATGACGCTTTGTGCGTGTTTTAGTAAAGATGGCAGCACTTGGAACAAAATAAATTTAACTAGCGCAGAGTACAATAATATTCACATCATCATCACATCAACAGCCTTTAATAGTACCTACACTGCTGGACATAGGCCTCTCCTTAGAAATGAGGTTTGGACCTACTATACTACGCTGGCCAGACAAGTTGGGATAGGGTTTGTGTCAAGATTCCCTTCTCTTTTTAGTGCTGTTGTCCTGCATAGTTTGCTCCCTTAGTCG